ATCTCACGCTCGTCCGTCCATCGCCATCTCAAGCCTACTTATGCGTAATCTACATATTACGGACACCGACCGATTTCTGATTATTTCACTTGGACGGAATTTGGTCCCAATCATCTTATAGACTTAACGTGCTTTCGGCTGAACACGACGCGCCATCAACTATCTTATCAACTATCCTTAACCTATCTTAAAACTAACTTACACGCTAGGTCGCGGGTTTAGTCATGGAGATTTCCAACCGAGGTCTCCGTTTCAGGTCGTGGGTCGCCATCTCTGATCAAGCTACCGCTCCGCTGATCGGCTTCGTATTCCACGGGCTGTACTTCCCACTGGCCTCTCGGGATTCCGGATACTTCGGCTTAACCGAAACACGTTCGCTCCGTCATCCGCCTTCTTCGTCAGGTTGGGTTAGTTGGGTTGTAACCGGCCAAAGGTTGAACTAAGGTCGGTTCGTCACGGTCGCCACCCGTTCTTTCTATTATTCGCGGGACTCTGTCCCTGGTCGCTGCGTACCCCCCAAGAAGAACGGGAGAATAGGAGGTCGATTAAGACTCACCGGGTTGATCTCAGATGCCTCTTTATTAGATGCTCGCCTCGCCGTCTCTCCTGCTCTGTGTCGCTCACGTTGGTGGAAGCCGCCAAGTTCCGTCCGCGCTGCTCAACGGACATTTCACGACTGAGGTAAAAGAGAGCGAAAAAGATTTCGCACTCGGGCACGTGAATTCGCCCCTCCGTAACGCCCTCTGCGTTCCGGCGGCGCTCGGTCAAGGCCCGCTATAATTACGGGTTATTCAGATGGTAACCCGGACCAGGCTCGGCTTCCCACCACGCGCGGCGCCACCGCCCAAGAGACACGTCTCAGCTACATCTCAACACCTTGGTCGTTACAAACTTTGGACCGCGGTGTTCAAACTTAAACTATTCGCATTCTATACGAGATCACAATATTTACGATATATAAAAAATCTGTTTAACAACTATTGACGCTTAGTTCTAATATAATATATTTACGTTAACGCAATTACGGCTCACCCTTATCGTTCGGCTCGGCTTTCGACCATTAACCCAATAATGAACTTATAAATAAACTCAACCATTTGTGTTTCCGATTCTATGCCCGGGTTTCCATTCTCGGACCATTGTCGACGTCGATTGCTCGGTTCCAGCTTCGTCTTAACTTAATACTTTTCATTTTTATGTTTCAGGTTTTGGTGCACCACCGGATGGACTCCAGGATCAACGCAGACATCGACGATGCTCCAGGACATCGCGGGACTTCGAGGGATCATCGCCGCTTCTAGGTAAGTGTCAGTCTTCATCATTTTAGCATAATAAAAGTTCTGCTCAGTTACAGATCCATGGCAACGATGAAGCTCGACTTGGACTCGGAATGCGGACATCCGCAGCGCCCTTCGCAAGGTAAGTACGACTTTTTCGCAGATAGGCCATTACTAAAATTAATAGTTCAGAATTCCGGAAGCTATGGCAGTGTCCTTGCTTCAAACCAAACGTAGTTATTATGCTTCCAGTCGTGCTTACGGTTGACGCTTATTATCTAACGCTCGGTCGAGGTTTTTACACTACGTAACTACATTTAAAACGTTAAACTAAAAGTATTCTTGATTTAGCTAACCTTGAGACTCTAATCTATCAGGAGTTGAAACCTCGCAAGTTTCAACCTACTTAAGTATTGGTCGGTCGCGTTACACGCCATTTGATTTTCCATCAGGGCGTACAACTAAACGTAATCTAATATAACTTAAAATTAAATAATTATCTGGAAAGGAATTGTAAATTATTTTGATTAAGCGGTTTGTCGAATTGTAACTAAAACCGGTAGAGCTTCGCCCTTACCTCCTACGGTTCTTATCTGTCGGGCTTCACGTACGCAATTATCTAACATCTTAGATTGCTCACACTTACTTGGGTTTTCACTGCGACACATCATCCGAGGTTCACCTCGTTACGCTCGCGGTATCCGGTCGCGCCATTAAACGCGTCGCTCTTATCTATCACTCTGCGCGTAGTTTATCCTATCGCTCTCCCCTCCATGCCGCCACCTTATCGTGGTGAAGGGGTACCGGCGATCCGATGAAGGCCCGGCGGCAGTACCTTTCGGTTTCGGCCGAAAGGGAGGCCCCTACCTGAGGATTGCTGGCGAACGGTGGCAACGGGGAAGGAAAACCCCCACAGAAAACCGGACCGCGGTGGGCTGCAGCCCCGCGGTTGCTAGAGGGGGTCGCAAGGCCCTCCACTGCAGGGGAGCCCGGCAACTCCCACAGGGCCGAAAGGCCCAATTGCCGGTAGGGGTTGGCGGCCCTGACTTCAATCGCCCGACCGGCTGGGGCCGTTAGGTGGAGCTTGCTCCACCGCCAGTCTTGGGGCGGGTTCGGGGTTGGGGGGACCTCCGCTCCGGGACGGGTAGTTCCCGTCTCGGGGAAGGAGAAGATCCCACACGAGTAGGCATTGCACGCCGGACTGGCAGCCGAAAGTGTGGGACACCCTTGAACCGTCCCTACTCGGGCCTCGGCCTGGGTAGGGTGGGGAGAGGTACCCACACCCGGGATTGCACGTTGGTAGTTTCCGACAACCCGGGGGGTGGAGGGGTGCGCGGGCCGCTTGGACATTTTCCGAGGTCGGGGCCGCGCACCCTGGGATGGCCATCCCGTCGGAGCTACCCGGAGATTCTCTCCGGGCCGGCGGGACGGGAGGTGGAGTCGCAGGGACCGGTACATTGGCCCTCCCCACATTCTGTGGAGTGGTGCCGCACCCCGGCAACCCTGCGACTCCTCCTGGTCACGACCGCATCTCGCGGCGTGACCGGCCGTGATGGCCCCCCCGTGTGGGCAGTGGTGCTCACGGTTGTGTGAGTGAGAGGCGGCCGGGCTGCAGTGAATATTTCCCGCGATACGAACCAAGGGGGGAGTAGTAGCCCCCCGACCGTGAAGGACATTGACGTCAAGTATCTGACCTCTGGGCTAGTAATAAGGGTAAATGTAAGTCCTGGCTTCTGCCAGGCAAAGGTCCCGTGAACCCTCATGTTCAACGTGGGAAGGACCGCTCCTTGTCTGGATCGGCGTCCCTCCGGGAGTTGAAGCCGTTGTCCCGGGCGCCTGTATGGACCGGAGGGGTGGCTCCCTGTCCGGTCATATCCTGCATGTGGGAATATACGCATGCGACCTCTAGCCTGGTGGACGGATGAGCGGGTGTTCGGGTCACTACGCGTTCTGCCATCGGGGTGAGGCTAAACCTTTGCATCATTTGTGGACCTGGCCCTAACCAGGAACCTTTTTAATAGAGTCTGCTACGGGAATAGGGTTAGCCACCTGAAAACTGCTTCTCAGCTTTTCCGTATTTAAATAGGGCATTACATTAGGCGGGGACAATTCTCCACTGAGTTGTGGAGGACCCATGATGGGCGAACCGCCTCTTAAATATCGTTACATATGGCTTCAATTACTAACCAAATATCTGATGTGGAGGGAGGTGGAGGAGGGGGCAAGGTCCCTGAGGAGACAGGAGATCTCCAGCCAACGAGAGGGGAGGAGCAGTCTTGTGACGGGATCGAGGGTTCTCGGCCGCCATATGACTGCCACTTCACCGAGGCGATCACCAGCCTCGCAGAGAAGGAGGGTGAAGACAAGGCGGAGGAAGGCGCAATGATGCCCAGCGCTGATTATGAGGGTGACACAAGGGAGGACATTGACCCTCTTGAAATTAACATGGAAGAAGGAGGAGAAGCAATTGATATCACCCAGATTGTTGCTTCTCAGGCCGAGGACACCGGAAAAGATGAGGTCGCTGAGAAACAAGTGGATTCAATGGTGGTAGAAACGGTAGTAGTGATGCCAGGCAATAGTCAGCCACCACCGCCGAGGAAAAGAAAGAAGGAGGGTTCGATATCACCAGGGGAGGAAGAAGCTAGGTGGTATAACTCGGAAGAGGATCCCACGGTAGGCACCCAAGGTCGGAAAGTGCAGGCGGGTGTTAAGGCGAGAAGAGGGATCCCTGACAACCCTGAATCAGAAAGGGAGACGGAAACTAAAAGGACGCGGCCGAAGGATAAAAGAGAGGACAGCAAAGCTGCTCCTACTACTTCAGGCAGATCTATCTACTTGAAGGATTCCGAAAGCGAGGCCGTCACAGTGTCCTCTGAGGAGGAATATATGCCTAATACACGAGCCACTGCGCGTAAGAAGGCGAAAGCAGGGAAGAAGAGAAGGAAGGTTGAACCTAGAGGCAAGGATCAGAAGGAAACTGAGTCTGACAGGAGCAGGGAGGGAAGGAAGTTAATCAAGGGAGTCTCCGACATGGTCAAGGAAACAACGAGATGCAAAGCAGCAGGAAGACAGGAAGGAGCTAAGGAAGGGAATCCGGGGGCGAATAAAGCAGCAGGGAGACAGGAAGGAGCGAAGGAAGGTAATCCTGGGGCGAATAAAGGAACCAAAGGGCAATTGAGCCAGAGGAAGGGCAATTCTCTCGATAAGGATGATACTCCTGATGCGGACAATAGGGAGGAGAGTGTGGTGCTGGGACCCCTCAGATATAACAAGATGACGGCTGCGTCTGCGGGCGCTCTGGCCCTGGAGTGGCTAGATGAAATAGAGGAATGCAGGTTCAAATCAAGTAACATGCAGGGACGAGTCAGCGGACATATCAAAAGTAATGTCGTTAAGATAAAGGACCTTGTAAAATCCTTGGTCGGGAGGGCTGAGGCGACTGGCGATCCCTTATATCTGAGGATGCGAAACTCGGAACTATCCATGCAGATCCAAAATTATAAGGAGACCTGTGAGAGGAATGAAGCCGACTTATCCTCGGCTAAACGTACCATCCAGGAACTAAAGAAAGCCATGCCCAAGGCTGATGGTAGGAAGCATAAGACTGGGACGAAGAGTAAGATGGAAGAGGAGAGTAAGGAACGTGGAAGGGGAAACAGTTCAGGGAATGAGGATCCAGCTCAGGGAGGAGACCCGGATACAGAAGTGGAGCCCATGGAATTGGGAAAAGAAGAAGGAAGATGCGAGGACGTTGTCTGGAGGCCGCAGCTAAATGGCACCTCGGTGCCCATACCGTCAACGGCGTCCAAGCAGAATGTCTCTGACGTAGGTAAGGAGAGAGTGGAAACCATCACGAGACAAATTGCGGAGCTTGTCAAGGTTAGGAGGCAATTGAGGAAGGACCGTAGCCTTGACAAAAAGGGTAACAACGTGGCGGCAACGGAGAGAGCTAGGAATAGTGGAAGGGCTGAGGAAAGGCAAAAACCGGCGGGATTGAGAATCTCGTCGGACATTCAGCTAGTCCCGCCTAGGGCTAAGGCGGATCCTTGTGAGGACATCCCGTTAAGTGAGAGGGAGGGTAAGATGCCAGCGGACAAAAAGGATGGCGACTGGGTAACGGTAGGCAAAGGGAAGGGAAAACGGCCGCAGCCGCAGCAAAAGAGGGTAGCCACTATGGCTAATGAAGAAGAGGTTGGAGCAGTTTTACGCAAAAACGAAGCTAGGAGAAGACCTCCGAAGACAGCGGCGGTCACGATTACTGGACGGGCAGAGGGTTTCTCCTACGCTAACGTCCTAAGAAAGGCGCGGGAGAAAATTTCATTAGCAGGCATTGGCATCGAGCAGAGCAAGATCAGACGGGCCATTAATGGGGGAATTCTGATGGAAATCATGGGGCCTGATGGTAGGGGGAAAGCTGAGGCTCTCGTGGCCAAATTGAAGGAGGCCCTGCAAGATGATGGTGTAGTCGTGACCAGACCGGTTGTTAAGGGAGAGATCCGGATTATTGGGCTCGATGACTCTGTAACCTGCGAGGAGGTACGAGATGTGGTCGCGAGTTCTGGGAATTGTACTCCAGAGGAGGTGAGAACCGGGGACTTGAGGAAGATGTCCAATGGACTCAGTATGATATGGGTGCAGTGCCCTCTGGCTGCGGCAACACTAGTGGCTAAAGGGGAAAAGATTAGGATAGGGTGGACCATTGCACGGGTAGAACTCCTGCGCGCCCGACCCTTGCAATGCTTCCGTTGCTGGGAGTATGGGCACGTTATGAACGCATGCAAATCGACAACGGACAGGAGTGCGGCATGTTATCGTTGCGGGATGGATGGCCACTGCGCGAAACAATGCACCACAGCCCCCAAGTGCATGGTGTGCACGGAAAGAGGAGGCGACGGGAAACACCGCATGGGGTCTGCCGCCTGCTCAGCGGGGAAGAAGGAAGCAAGAAATCCAGCTAGGAGGACTGGTGCGGAAGTTTCAAACATTAATAATGGGACTTAAGTTCATCCAATGCAATTTAAATAGGAGCTGGGAGGCCTATAACCTGCTTATACATCAGGCTGCGGAGCTCGAAACGGATCTGTGCGTTATCGCTGAGCCGCCTGCTGCACCGGAGGCAGGGAATTGGTACCGCAGCGACAATGGATTAGCTGCGGTGGTTTGGAGGTCCAAAGGATCGGCACGTCTTGGGCTGTGCTCCCTGGTTAAAAGAGGGCACGACTTTGTAATAGTTGAAGCAGGGGGAGTTAGGATTGCGTCGTGCTACGTGTCGCCGCAGACTAAGAGGGGCCCCTTTCTACAGTTTTTAGACGAGCTGGGTGAGGCGGTAAGAGAAATTGGGGTGACACGTATCATAGTGGCGGGCGATTTCAATGCACGCTCAAGAACCTGGGACAAAGGAAGACCCAACGCCAGGGGGGACCTTCTTGAGGAATGGGCGGCGGAGAATGATGTCAGAATATTGAACGTAGGAAGAGAACCTACGTGTGTCAGACCACAGGGCTGTTCCGTAGTGGATACGACTTGGGGGTCCCCGGACTTGGCCGCTAAAGCCGAGGGCTGGAGGGTCTTGGAGTTGGAGTCACTCTCTGACCACAAATACATTGCCTTCGAATTGGGAGTAGCTTCCGTAGCACAAAAAACAGCAATAGAGGAAAAGGAGGTTACGACCGTTGGAAGTTGAGCAAGTTGGATGTTGAGGTTTTCCAGGCGCTTTGGGAGCTGCGGTGCGAGGAGGACAGGATTGACGGGGACGTCGATAAAACCGCTGCGGACACTGCAGCATGGCTCCAACGGACCATGAAAGAGGCATGCGATCTGGCTGCCCCTAGAGCAAGCAAAGGGCGGGCAAGAAGGAGGACCTACTGGTGGAATCAGGAAATTGCAGAAGTACGAAGAGCATGCATCAAGGTGAGAAGGATCCTGACGAGGAAAGCGAAGAAGAAGGATGCCGGGTTCAATGATGAAAGCAAGAGAGAGTTGGCTAAGGTGAGAAAGTCCTATAGGGAGTGCACTGACCGAATGAGAAAGCTTATCAGAGTGGCCAGGAAAAACGCATGGCACGAGCTGATTGCGACCATAGAGGCAGACCCCTGGGGCACCCCCTATAGGTTGGTCCTGGGTAAGATGCGTAACACAGCCTCCCGACTGACTGAAACGCTAGAAGAGGAAACAGTGGATAGGTTGATTGACGCACTGTTCCCGGCTGGAAGGCTTCTGGACGATGCGAATCAAGACATTCAAGTCGCCTGGAGGGATTGTTGGAAGGTCTCGACTGTAGAGGTGCGTGCCATTCTGGAGAATAGGGGGGCCAAGAATAGAGCTCCCGGAATTGATGGTTTTACGGCAGGGATATGGAAGAAGGTGCCGAACGCCGTAGCGGGGAAGGTAGCAGAATGCCTCACGATATGTCTCAGGGAGGGGACCTTTCCGGTAGATTGGAAGAGAGCAATTCTGGTCCTCATACCGAAGGGGAGTCCTCCCTCCACAGAACTGATGCCGAAGGTGAGACCGATATGTCTCTTGAATGAGATTGGAAAGGTGCTGGAAAGGGTTATCGCGAACCGCATGTTAGGATGGATGAGGGAAAACCCTATGGCCGACTTAGCTGACAATCAATACGGGTTCAGAGAAGGACGCTCCACCTGTGACGCGATCATCAAAGTTCAGAACGTTGTGACGAAATGCATAAGGAACGGCGAATACGCAATTGGGATCAGCTTAGACATTAAAAACGCTTTTAACTCGATTCCATGGGTGAGGATTCATGAGGCTCTTGAAAAGAAGGGATTCCCGAATTATATTAGGAAGATTGTGGCGGCATACCTTTCCGATCGTTGGATTGAGTACGGAGTAACAGGAGGAGGAACCAAAAGGAGGGCAGTCCGAGCAGGAGTCCCTCAGGGGTCCGTTCTGGGGCCACTCTTATGGAACGTAGTTTATGACGGGGTGCTACGCTCCGGTATAGAGGAAGGGTTGTAACCGGACTTCCGATTGCAAGTCAGAAGTGATC